CACCTCCTTTATTTGGTTCACTGGCATCTACAATTTAAGCTTAATCATTGGCACAGCTGCTGATTATCATCCAGTGCACTTGCTTCTAAAAAACTACAGAAAACATCTTAACAGCTAGGTAGCATATGCAAACCACACGGCTTAATATTAATTACCATTATACATGAAGAAAAACAAATCAAAATAAAGAAAGTGTAAGCTTTGGTTTATGTATTCCACATTCCCCATACATTCTGCAAAGTTAGGCCTTTAAATACTCTATTTTTATTCAACTTTGAGCCTGGGAATACAGTTTATTCCAGGCTAGGTGAAGAATGCACATTGCCAGCTTGATACTAAAAACATATGAAATGGACATTTGGAAACCCCATCAGGACATGTGTGAATAATAAATACAATGCCTGATTGTCCTATTGCTCCTAAATCTATGGGGAAAATATTTATACATCAATGCAACAATTTAATGCAGGAAAAAAAGAATGATTTTTTTCACGTGTCTTTCTAGCGGGTGTGTTATGATCACACAGTTTAAATACTGTCTTAATTTACAAAAACTAATGGAATACACACAACATGAACATAAAGGAATACCTAAGAAATCAGTGAGGGGTTTGAAGTCATGAAGAATGAAGTGACTAGCCTGCAATGAGTAATGATGACTGTCCTTTTACCCATTTACAGTGGGAGAGCAAAGAAGAACAAATGGCCTTTTACGTACCTTTCAATAAAAAAGGTGTTGTTTTTCATTATAAAAACATTCCTATATATCGTTTCAAATCACCTTTAGCCATTCAAACACCAGCCTTGGTGCCGCATGTTTATAAGTAAACTTTATTTGAAAAAAAGTGGCCATTCAAACCATTCAATTATTTTTGTTTTTACCTCAGCTGGATTACGGTCTTAAACCAGCATTTTTATCTCAACGAATGTACAGAAATTCATCGATGATGACTGAACTCCTCACTAACGTAAAGGGGGAATTTCTGTCGTTTTGTTGGTTTGGCCTCCTTCAGCTGCTGATGAATATTACGTGGGTGCATGCTGTTTGAATACAGGAACACGTGCTAAGAAGATGCACAATACCATGGCTAATCTGTCACCATCAAGGTTTAATTTATTGCTACTGAATTAATAAAAACAGCAATGACCTTTATCAGTCATGTGTCATTTCTTGATTTATACAGCAACTAAAGCTTTATGTTTTTGTTCTCACCAAAACGGAAGCATCTTCCCTGAATGTCACTCTTATTCCCAGCTCACAGTACAGTTATACTGCTCATTAGTGACGTTAAAGTCCCTGAACAAGCCTCTCTCCAACTGTAAACTGTAGCTTTGGTGATAACGCAAACATAGACAATAAGAAAAAAAAACGTTTGCCATGCTTGATTCAATTCAATGGAGTAAAAAACACAGATGATCCTAAATACACTCACTGGATTACATACAGAAGATTCCTCTTTAGTTTAGAAAAATAAATTTGTAAATTACTAAAATAATCTAAGATTATTTATTCTATGCATGATGATGTGCAATATAAAGAAATCGGCCATTTCAAAAATATAATGTACTCTTCACCCTGCTTTTACTAAGATACCAGTAGTGCCACCATCCACCAGAACATTGTTTCTGTTAAAAAGGTAAATTATTATTTCATCTGTGGGTCTGATAAAAATGTCTGTACTAGGTAATGCACCAAGACAGGACTTGGTTTCTTAATGAACACATCAACAATGCTTCCTTTTCAACTTCAATCTGCACTCTATTATAACAACATAACTTTAACAATACTGCACAGGAAAAGCAAAGATTAGCATATCTTAAAACTTAAGTGACTGAATTGGTCTACAAAATATTCTAAATGAATCCCAGTGGAAACCTTCCCTGAACTTCTGTCTTTCTTGAAATCACTGGTCTCACTATACCAAATCATTATTCATTCATTTATTATTGATACATATTAGGTTCTTATGTGGAGGCAAATATGTTTCATTTGTGGCTAGAGAAGAGATAACCAAGTTTTAAAAAATGATACATTTCAACTGAATATACTCTTAGACAAGAGCTGGTCATAATTAAGAAAAGGAAAAATCTTATTTGGTTTATTTGGTCATCATTGTATTGTTTTAAACGATGGTTTTAACGTACATATCTCATACTACTTTAAGTAGCTGCATTGGGAACTGAATTGTAAAGGTCTTTTAAAAAAATGAAAATTCAAGAATTAAAATGAACAGTATTCTTTAACAGCAGTCATATGAGAACACAAACTCGTCAATAATGCCTTTAGGAAACCAGTAATGATCATTGCATTTTTTCTCGTTTTTGTCTTTTCAGTATTCTTATTAAAATAACCACCACTTCAGAGCATGACTCAAATGGCGGATCTGTGAAACCTCCTCAGCTTGATTGGAAGTTTGAGCAGAACCACAGTACTGGTTTTTAACTGAAACCAAGAAGCAATCCTTCTTTGCACAGCACATAAGTGATAATTTCACTTCACTACAGAGAACAGGAACTGATATCTGTTGTTTTTTGCTCCATTGACATTGGCTAGCCTGCCGAGATCCAGCTATTTCTAATGTAGGCTAAATCCATAAATGAGCGAACTGACCACACTTGAAAGACGCATAACGAATAAAGAAGATAAAGGTTGTGGAAATAATTAAATCTAGATGCTACCAGCATGACAGAACTGTCATATTTGCAGGGTCCTCTAATTCAAGTCACTAATGCAAGCACTGAAGACTTCTCAAAGTCATCTTTTTTGCGTCTTCTGAAGATCAGACATGATCTCTATGCAACACATAATTTAATACTTCAATGACTGCTCGGAATCATTCAATGCTGGTCAGAGATTTTTTTACATCAAAAGCATATACTGTATACACACACAGCTGAGTTATTTTGGCAGTGATACGGTATATAAAGAATGCAAAGTTTTAGTTGGTTTCCACAAAGCTCAAGGAGGGAGGGGAAGCAGTAGAGAAATGACAGCTAGAGTTTTACTAGTGGCCCACTTCAAGGATTAAAAAAGGAGCATAAAAACGCAAGCTGTGTTTTTATATTCTTCACATTGTCCACCCAGCTGAACAGAACTGAAAAAAAGAAAAGAAAACTGGAACGAAACAGGCATGATGGTAGTCAAAGGGATGATGTGCAATTCCCGTGAGGAGAAAAGCTATCTTGCTGCTGATGAGGCCATGAGAAAAGAAAGAGTTGCTATTGCTTTTCATGGCCGCCCCCATCCGGAGTGCACTCCTGTCTGGAAAGTTCAGTTTCTCGGTGTTCGGACATCTGGTCTGGCAAACGCCTTTTGCTCCGACTGACAGACACCCCCAGCCTGAGGCTATTCAAGACTTGACCTCCTCGCAGTCCTGGTCAGTGGAGAGCTCCACATCCGAGAGTCCAACCTCCACTGAAATGATCAAGGAGGTGTCCGAGTCACTGCTGACAGTGGGCTCCTGTTCACCTGCAGGAAGACAAAAGACTCTTACCAGTGTGACCTCTTGTACATTAGAAGGAGGTAGAAACATGACACTTTCATTAGAAGAAGGGCCCTATGCCGGTCCACTTTCACTTTTGAGTGCAGCCCTCAAAGGACATTTGCAGAATTAATAAAATCCAAAATGCAAAAATATAAAAATAAATTAAATATAAATCTAACAATTAATGAAAACTCTTTTGTTGTTCCTTTAAATTACCTTGAAATGGAAGACATGAATCACACATCTTTTAAAACCTTCTTAAATTAAACCGTAGGCTTACAGAGCTTGAAAGATCATACAAAATGCTGAAACATTTAAGGCAAACTAAATAAAACTAGCTGCAGTAACATAACATTTAATAATATAGTAAAGATATAAGAAAATTAAAAAGGTAAACAACTGCCGTAACATGCATTGAAAGTTTTGTGGAAAAAAAAAACAATTTAAATTAGGAAATGGTGACTTTTCAAAAGAATCCAATTCAATTTCTCCTCACAAATGGGAACCATAAAATAATTGGAAGATTTATGATCGAGTTATAGATGTGTATATCAGCTCTAAATACACAATCATAACACTGTCGACCTTGCATATGCTTACTTTCAGATAACATCTTTACCACATTTACTGGCAAAACAGTGTTGTACAGCATTATAGTTATAAGCAAGCCATAAACAGTGTCTTATCTTAAACATGAGAAGCTCTCAAATATCAAGAACTACTGTGTCATGACAAAGCACAGACTGCAGTGACTTTTAAAGGGCAGGTGAGTCATTGTCCATGTCAATGTCTGTTAGCATGACCATCAAGGTAGCCACATAGGATCCACTGGAAATATGCTGCACACAGGCAGCTACCATTTGAAACGAACACACCATAACCAATGACTTTAATTAGAAAGTCCTTATCTAAGCAATGTTTCAAAAAGAAAGAACTCAGTGGCTTATTCCACAAAAACAAAGTGCATGGATTTAAAACGTGTTGAGTGATTCTCTGATCTTTGCCTTCCCATGCCATTAGCTGTTCTGTTAAAACTCTATATAAATCACTGCATCATGGAAACAGAAACTTTGAGATACTGTATCAAGCCATATGCACTTTATCAAAAACACTCTTTAGAAAACTTTAATTATGCCAGTATTATGCTACCCCCCTTTCCGTGTTCTTGAAAATGAACCCCACAGGACTCCAGCTGGATGACATCCCGTGGAGGAGCAAACATAAATCTTTTGTCTCGTCAGTCTGTAAGACAACATCGGCAGGAGGCATGAAGAAGCAGTTGGCTTTTTCAGGGTGGGGCTGAATTAGTCATGAAATGCAGTCATGCCAACTGAGCAAAAGCCTGGGCCTGTAAAATGTTTTAGAAGAATTGAAGAATGAGAGATTTATTTGTCTCAGCAGTTTATAACAACTACCCCTGAGCACAGGAAGCTAGTGCTCCAGGGGAGAACCCAACGAGGTCCAGAAGTGAGGTTCAGGTGGGAGAGAGGTCTGCCTTCGCACTGACACGTCAAGACACTTGCCTGGCTTTCAGCTGTGTTCAACTGTTGACGGCGGAAGAGAGCTAATGTTGCAAATATTGGCCACACTCGTCAATGGGAAGAAAAGGCTCGGACAAGCAGAAAAACTGCAAATAACACAGAAAAAAAACCTACAACCTTTCTTGGATACACATACAGTCATGTGAAAAAGAAAGTACACCCTCTTTCAATTCTATGATTTTATATATCATGACATAACAAAAAATCATCTGGTCCTTACCAAGTCCTAAAATTAGGTAAATCTAACCTCAGGTGACAAATAACACATAACAGATTCCACTATGTCATTATTTAACAAAAAATGCAGACATGCAGAAGCCATGTGTGAAAAACTAAGCACACCCCATGAGTCAATAGCTTGTTAAAAACCACCTTTAGCAGCAATAACTTGAAGTAATCGTTTTCTGTATGAGTTTATCAGTCTCACATCGTTTTGGAGGAATTTCGGCCAACTCTCTTGGCTACCCTTCCATGAAAGCCATACTTGTTCAGTCTTTTTTTGATCGTACTGTCATGAACTTCAACATTTAACATGTTAACCGAGGCCCGTAGATCCCTAGATATAGCTTTTGGGTTCTTTGCTATTTCTCTGAGCATTATAGTCTGACCTTGGGGTGAATTTGCTGGGACGCCCACTCCTTGGAAGATTGGCAACTGTCTTGAATGTTCTCCATTTTTTAATAATCCTTCTCACTGTAGAAGGATGGATTTCAAATTGTTTGGAAATGGCCTTATAACTTCCCAGATTGATAAGCAGCAACAATAGCTTCTCTGAGTTCATTGCTGATGTCTTTTCTCCTTGGCACGGTGTTAACACACACCTGAATGCTCCAGACCACCAAACAGCCAAAAGTCCTGCTTTCAAGTCAATCAAGTGCATTTGATTAGCAACACCTGGCTGCTAATTACCTTCTTAATTCCTATGGAAGCAGTAAGGGTGTACTTAATTCTTCCCACATGGCTTCTGCATTTTGGCTTACTTTTTGTTGAATAACGACATAGTGAAATCTGTTATGCGTTGTCTGTTATCTAAGGCTAGATTTATTTAATTATAGAAGTTGGTGAGGACAAGGCAATTGCTATTTATGCCCTGATATGTAAAACCATTGAATTGAAAGAGGGTGTACTTTCTTTTTCACATGACTGTATCTGGTCATGAGAGAGTGAAAAGGTCACTGCAGACGTTTTGAAGTTTGCACCATTTTAGAAGTTCATTTTCAGCCTAAAATATTCACTGATGCAGGGGGTGTAAAAAAGATATATGATAAATTTAATTGCAATAAATATAGGAGATGGGATAATAAATCCTAGTACCAATCAGCCTACTATTGTAGGGTGCACAGGTTCTACAGCAACCTCTACTTATAATAGTATTAGGGCTATAAGAATAAAAAAAAAAGATATAAAGACAAAACACAATTTTCTCTCTGTATAATTTAACCTTGTTTATGCTCCATCAGTGCATGGCCATCCAGCTGTGCTGATACAGTAGTTCTTTTCATTACTCTCACAGTATTGCCAGTTGTTAACATGAATGGATTAAGATCCAAAGATCCAAATGACAGCATGAGACAGACTTTCAGCAAACAAATGCCTGATGGACCACAATGAACCCAAGGAACTTTATTACTTCTCAGCTAATAATTATAGGCATTTACAGAACTCATGCTGCCTCCCATCTTGATCAGATTTATCCTACACTGTGTTCAATCAGTTGTGTATTCCAGATAAACCCCTCCATTTTATATTTGCTGTGTGAAATTAGTCTGCACATTTCAAGCTGCATAAAAACATGGTTGGCAATCATCGCCATAGTGGGACCTAAAATCTAAAAGAGATATTCACACATTGCTTCTGTAATTTATGTATATAATCAAAATGATTTTACAATGAATAGTGGTGAACTGCAGTAAGTATATACATTTAATCTGTTTAAAAAAAAAGACAAAGTTGAATGGTTTGTCACAATTCTAAAATCTACAGTGAAAGATGAAAACGTAATTCTCCTGGAATCCATAAGGGGGTCTAAGATGTAAAGCTGGAAGCAAATACAACTGAGTGGGGGTGGTGGAAATGTAATTTCTGAACCAAATTAAAATACAACAAGAAAAACAAGATTAACATATGTTGATACATGTAACATGTACAAGTATAGTGTTTTATTAAATAAACAATAACGGTACTCTGAAAAAAACACAGATGCCAGCTGGACAACCCATCTAGTTATTTCGAGCTCTAATCAGAACACAAGTGATGATGAATCATCAATGATGTGGGATTTCTATTCAGGCAGAACAAAGAAAAAGAGATGTATCTTTTGCCTGTGAATCACAGCTTTCCATTCAGTAGCTGCAATATGCCTTTTGAAAGCAAAGTGAGTTTAAAATGTAACTTGTGACCTGTGCATAGACCAAAGTTCTGCTTTGGTCTGGATCTCTCGGGATTTTTTTTAATTCTGTTGTTAGCATCTAAACATCTATGATAATACCAGGAAGTAAGGCAATACTGATATGAATGTTTTTTTTTTTATGTCTCAACCAATGCCGTATTTTGCATTGTCTTACTAATAGAATGCTGGTCATGCAGTCAAAATCATAAAATCATGCCAGCTGCTGTTTACAAATATTGCATTCATCAACAAAATTCTATAAAACAGGAATAGGAATAGGAATATGTTGCTTTAAAATAATTACGTCTTTGCATCTAAAGTGCAGTCTGAAGATGTAGCTATGGTAACTGTCCCAGACAGTGCCGTTAGTTTCAGTTCAGCTGGCAGCTGATGTACAGTAGTAGTTACCACAGCTTCTCTATACACACAGCAAGATCCACACACCACCACAGTTAATCCACTGCTCGCACACACATGGCACTGCTAAGAAGGCAGATTTTGCGTCATATGATTTTACCTATAAAGGTACTGTGCTGCTAATCTTTTTAGCCGTTTTTCCAATTCACTTTTGAGGAATATTATTGGAATATCACCACTGCTCACTACAGTAAAACATGCACCATGCAAATTCCTTTCTACTACCTCAAACTGCAGACATTAGGCATTCAGCATTCAGGCTAGTACTTGTATTAGAAATTGGTTAATACATAAGAAACTGAGATTCAAATAATGAGTAAGTGTTCATGTTTCTGATTTAATTAGTGGAGTACAACGGATATTTGTATTACAATCACTGGTTTCTCCATCTTGATATAAAGATCTCGATTTCTGTGTAGGTAGAGAAAACTGCAGTACTTTCCCAATGATACCAAACTAGGATTAGCGAACACTATAGGAGCTCTAGGAGAAATTCAAGACAACACTAAAGTAAGGAGTGTGCAGACACCGTGTAGAATATATGTTAATGTAGTTAAGTCTAGGGTTATGCATCCTGGTAGCAAAAATAAATTACAAATATAAAATGGAAAGCACAAAGCTAGAAAGGGCTATATATGAGAAAGACTTTATGTAGGCATTTTCATCTTCCAGGCCATGTAGAGAAGCAACAAAAGAAAACCAAAAGCTCTAATCACTACTCCACACTTCTGACTAATATGGTATTGCTGTCCCCCTAAGCAACAATGAAGCTTTTACTAATTTTTTTACCAAAGGCCGCAATGCACAACTGTAGCCACAAGGTGCCAGTCTGCCACATATTTATTTTTCTCCTATGCAATAGCAGGATTGAAGACTACAGTGTAGTTTCACTTTGCCAAAAGACAAATGTGCATGTGCTAGGTTTAGATTAATACAAATAGAAATGATTGGCTCAATGTATATTTTTCTGTACATGATATTAATCATGCAGGCTTTAACACAGACAGCATGTTATTGTAGACACCATTTAAAAAGCAACATACTATAATCAACAGACACAGACCAATTACTTAAAAATGGCCAAAATAGATTTTGTCTAAATATTAAGATCTGAAAAATTAAAAAAGTAAAATTGCTCTCTTTCTGGGGGGTGAGCAGCCTGGAATTAAGAATAAATAACACTGATCTCATTAAATAAAATCTTTTGAGTTGAAACAAAAGGAATTATATCGATGAACATAACAATGATCAGAAATGAGAGGAGGCCATTCAACCCAGCTTGCTCGTTTGACTCTTTTACACCCTTTGCTTGCCATCAGTTAACTGCAATGTAGATTAAAAAGGGAGAAGTGATGCCTGAGTGCACTATTTCTATAGTAATAGCAAATCCATTGTGTGTTATTAGCGAACAACAAGTCTGTCCCTCCAGGCAGTATCACAGAGGGAATGGTTTCTCAGCCCATATTCCTAGCTATAAACAAGGCTGCAGATTAACTGCTGCAACTGCTGAAGTATCAGTAGGAGACAGAGATAATAAAAGGCAACAGGACTGTTGTTGGTGATCTGTCAAGTAAAAGGCTTCCATTGTCCTAAGCTATTTCAACTGAACCTGCTTCAGTGCCTTATGACATTTCGTTGAATGCGAGCTGAGGCCATGACTGAAATGGCACATGGCCACTCTGTCTCCAAAGATTTATTCACCCCAGCTAGAGAGAGTCTTTGTTCCTGATGTATGAACACATTGCCCTTTAAACTTTTTTTTAACTTTCCTGTGCAGCCAAAAAAAAGTCTAACTACACGTCACCGTTCAAAGCAAAGCAGAAGCCAAAGGAATACAGGGCGTCTGTAAAACTGGAGAAGCTGCACAGCAGAAACAACAATAAGGCATCTTCTGTTTTAAGCAAGCAAGCTTCTGTTTTAAAGTAATGCATGCCAATTAATATTTCAGAAATAAAAATATAACGACCACGCACCTTTGAAATGAAAACTATTTTAGACCAAATTTTAATTCTTTATTGTGCAAAATAAGTGTAATTAAGGGTGTCATGGTGGTGCAGTGGTTAGCATTGCTATAATACCTTGCAGCTCTGGGGTTCAATTTCCTCCGAGTGCTGTGGTTTCTTACTACAGTCTCAAGACGTACTGGTAGGTTAATTGGCTTCTGGAAAATTGGCCCTGGTGTTTATGTGTGTTTGTGTCTGTGTGTGATGGACTGGTATCCAGTGCAGGACGTATCTTGTACGTGTTACTTGCCAGGATACGCACCGGTTTCCCTGAGAC